GAAGGGGCATTTCAGATAAAAGGTTTATTTAATTTGTGAGATTAAAAAAAAAAAAGGTAGCTCCTCCAGGAAAGTTTACAGAAGATACTAGAAGAATGTAAGTCACGGCCACTGATCTGTTTGGAAAGAGAATGTAAACGTGCAATGCATCCCTGAGAAATGACTTTCTCGCGTTGCCTTACAGGCAGCGTCTGGGGGGTCATCGGAAGGTTTTTCACTAGGCTAGCATTTTTACATTCTCTATCTACACTGCCGTGTCTACCAGATTCAGATCTGGGACTGGACGAAGTCTCTGATGCTTGTCATCATTTGGTGGTGCTTATTCTGTTGTTGTTGTTAGCTGCTGCCGAGTTGGCCCCTGACTCATGTGACCCCATGCACAACAAAAGGAAATTCTGCCCAACCCTATGCCATCCCCATGATCGGCTGTGGATCAAACCATTGTGATCCACAGGGTCTTCACTGGCTAATTTTCAGAAGTAGATTGCCAGGCCTTTCTTCCTAGTCTGCCTTAGTCTGGAAGCTGCACTGAAACCTATTCAGCATCACAGCAACACGCCAGCCTCCACTGACAGATGGGTGGTGGCTGTGAATGAGGTGCATTGGTCAGGAATCGAACCCCATCTCCCGCGTGGTAGGCGAGAATTCTACCACTGAACTACCATTGCTCCCTGCGCTTATGTTACTTTCTTTAAACGAAGGCTTGCCTTTGTGTTTTTGCAGAGAGAACAAGTCGGGGGAAAGAAAATTTCCTTCTCCCCTTAGACAAACTGACCTTGGCAGCTGTTTAGATGAATGGTAAACTTTCGGGGAGGGGATGTGTCAGGCCGCCGTGACAGGGAGGCAGTGTGTGCAAGCAAACTCACAAAGAACACCTCGGCGTCCCCCCGGGCAAGTGATAGCAGCCAAGCAGTACCCAGTTTACACACATCTGATCTCCATGCTTCCTTGCTCAGCAACACCGAGTCATAATCTGGCAGCTGGAGACGTGTGGTGGGTGGGGGGCCCTGAGGAGAGGGATTCACACACCACAGCTGCCCATCTGGACCCCTGGCAGGGTTTAAGAACTCTGCCTTTCATCAGTGGATTACGTGCAAGAACCCTGTTTAACCCTCACCACGTCTCAGAAGTGTTGCTAGCAGAGAGAGCCGTGGGAGAAAGGGACGCAGAGGCCAATCCCAGGTCCGTGACCTGATGGACAAAGCCTCTGGGGGCAGCCCGTTGGGGATGAGAGTGGTGATGGAAAAGGGGAGACGGGGCGGGAAATGTCAGGGATTGGCCAGTTGGCACTAAACAAACAGCCTACAACAAAACCTGAGGCAGACAGTTAAAATCTAGCCAGTCCTCTCAGTACACCAAAATGTACCGATACGACTGCACCCCTCCGCCCCTCCTGCAGCCATGAGACAGCCTTTGATGTCCACTTTCTCCTGCTTTGTTGTCCCTGTTAGTTGCCATTGAGTCTATTCCGACTCATGGTGAGCCCATGTGTGCAGAGGTTGTGACCTTTTGGAAGCAGATCGCCAGGCCTGACTTCTGAGGTGCCTCTGGGTGGGTTCAAACCACCAACCTTTTGGCTAGTAGTCAAGTGCTTAACCATTTGTGCTACCAGAGACTCCTCCTGCTTTACCTGGATGAAAATCGTGAAGGTCAGCAGAGAGGTGCCTAGTGAACTCCAGAAGATGGACTCCATGGCCCTCAGAAATGGCCTAAGCCATAAACCCACAGTCACAGTGGTAAAGAAGTGATACTGATGTTCCTTTCAGCATCCATCAGTAGTAGACACAGCAGTTCTGAATCCTCCACTCTAACCACCACCTTCAACATACAACCATGCCTGGGCTTCCATGGGGCTCTAACAGGTAGGGTACCAGGCCCAGTCACTCCACACATGCTATGTTCAAAGCCCACAGCCTCTAACACCAAGAAACTCTTGCTTCCACCTGGTCAACAACTACAGAACTCTAATTATGGGCTTCATATATTTTTACTGGCTTCTTTATTATTCTTTTTTCTCTTATTGAGAAAAGAAAGTATTGGTTAAGAGGAAACAATCCATCACCTTAATTACACCACTTTTCAGTTCTCTCATTTTTTTCCCTTTACACAGTTTTTCATTTGTTAAAAACTCAAGTCCTAGGAAAAGATACATGACGGCACCATGTTTATAGATACGGCTTAAAAAAAAACAAATGCACATCCAGGCTACATTGTTTCAAATATGACTCATAACAGCAACTAAAAAGGTCTTTTTAAAAATCACATGCCAGCGCAGCTTATTCATCCTGTCTTCTCCCTTTCCTGCACAGCTCTCTTCCTCCATGCCTTGTTTCTCTTCATCACTGACTCACCATGGGATACAATCAAAGTATTCCCACTAAGTAGAAAACACAAGGTGATTTGAATAAAAAGAAAATGTTTGAAGGCAAGAAATGAGTTAAGAGGCAGAAAATGAAAGATACCTCAAAATCTAAAAGATAAGAATATCTAATAAGCCCAGGTCCAAAGGCCACTTTTATTGCATTTCCCTAGAGATTTACCTAGTACACATTGGTCTCTCTCAAGGAATGAAATTATTTCTGTCTGATGGTTAATTTATAATGGAAAAGAAAAACAACTCAAATTCTAAAAACACACTAGCATTGTAAATGTCTGTTGTTAAGAGGGTTTCGCCATATCTTGTCTGCCCAAACCTGACTTCTCCTTGTTTCTGCCTTTCAGTGAAAAGGGTGCTTAGGTACCAAATCACTGGTGCCTTGATCAACAGAGGGCCCCACTGTCCTGACCAGGAGAGGAACCTTATGCCAGTCACTTGGTTAGATGAAGCACGCGTTCCTCCTTCCTCCCCCAAATGGACAACTTTGCTTGAATTAAGACACAGAGTTGCATGTTCCAGGCTAGGCAACAAGAAGAGAACTCCCAGCCCTGGGTTCATCTGGATGACTACCAACTTAAAATGCCAATGTGATTACAACTGTCACTCTCAATTCCAACTCCAGTCTTGACCCTGTGTTCCTAAACCAAGAATCTGCTCCCTAAAATGGGGTTTCCTCCTTCCAAAGATGCTCATCTTCCAAGATGACAGCCACAAACCAATCTACACAACAACCTGAACAGCCTTTGCTCAATCCCCTAGCCAGCCCACCATAGGTGCACTGGAAATTCTTACCTTCAAGACACTAAGCCCTCTGTTTATTTTGGCTAAATGAGCATGGCTGCTCTGATTATGTATTATTTATATATTTAAAAAAAGAGAACACCACCGGACTGTGAAACCTCATGGTAAACACAGCTTCAAGGAGAGCCCATGTGACCTGGTTTGTTTGTTGTCTTACGGAATCGAAGCACTTAGCCACCACACTTGTCAATCTTGGGCCAGGACACGCGTGCTCACAAAAAACGGTGTCCGCGGCAGTCACTGGCAAGACTTTAACCAGCCTTTCCTGGGAGCTTTGAGTCTCAACAACCCAATAAGAGTCAGGTGAAAAAACATAAGCAGGTTTTACTTCACCAACACAAGCGTTACCTTGAGTCCTGAAGGTTAGAACTTGAATTCAATTGTAATCCAAGCCGTTCGGTTTTGCTCTCAGCTTTCCCTCCAATACTTTGGATTTGCATTCATATAGATCTCACACCCAAAGAGTACCAACTTGTGTACATGAATACTCTTAATACTTTAAAATGCGGAATGAGCAGTGGGGATGGGGCTCAGGGAAGCATGGAAAAGTGAGAGAGAAAGAAAATATATTCTATTTAGATCTATCACTCTGTTCCACTCTGCTGCCTCCTTCCTCATCTATTGTCTTAAAGCTGGGGGTGATGGGTGGCAAATTAGGCGAGATGATTTGGAGTCAGAGAGCACATCTAGGTGGCAAAGCAGGAATTCATCTCTCTCTAGCCACGAGCTGGACAGATTAATGAGAGTCAAGATAACAAGTCTAGACGTCAGATATAAAAATGACTTCCCTTATCTCTGAAAAGCTGTCACCTGTAGGGTTAAACCCAGGCAGTACAGCCCCTCACAATTGCTTGGATAAAATGGGTTATAAAAACTCCCTGTGACTGGGTGAGGGTGAGTGTCTCTGAATATGGTTTTACACTCAGGCCAAATGAAGGGATGCGATGCATTTAGAGTGGCTTCTGATAACACTAGCATTCAGAACCTGGGTGGAAATTTCAGCTGTGCCAATCAGTTGTTCTGCAAAGAGGGAAAAATGTAAAACCCATGCATTTTAATGGCACAGATATTTACCATCACCCAAGGTTGGAGGCCTTTTTTTTTTCCTGGATGAGGCAAGCGTCCCAAATTCTTCTCTTTTTGCTCTGCTATTTACTTTATAAGGGAGAAAATGTCCCTTTCTGTTTTTCAGTCCAGTCCTGCGTTTAAACGACTCCAACTCCAGTCATCGAATGTGTCTCCTTGTTCCCTTTACCAGCCACCAGCTCCTGAATTCTGCAAGTCTTCCTCCTTATGATAATCATTCCTTGTGCCTTTTCCCTAACTTTCCTGCCTCACACAAATGCAAGCCACTGCACCTCGCTGAAGGTTAATTGAGACTGCTGCTTTGGTACCCTGGAACTTCAAAGAAACCCTCTTCAGGCTAAAATAAATCATTGCCATCTCATTTCACTTTTAATTTACTGCTGATTTTTTTTTTTTTTTTTGGTTCCATCTTCCCACAGCTTCTCCTTTCTCACCACTCATGCATTTTCAGCCTCATTGCTCCCCGTTGGACAATGCAAGGCTGAAAGGTTTATCTGTAACCTATTTGTCTCTATTATAGGTTTCTAAACTTTAATTAAACAAGAGACAGTGAGGATCTCAATCCCCCTTCCCTGCATCTAGAGGTGTTGTTGGCGCCATCTAGTGTTGGGAAGGTGTGGAGTCTATTTTCTACTGCAATAGTTGCCAAATTTGGAGGTTTAGCCCCCACCAAATTCACATCACATGGGGGAAAGGAAAAGGCATGCGATTTTTTTTTTACCTTGAAAATTCTCACCTGCAAAAGCTGAGATGGGTTCTAGAAAAAAAGAAACAAAAAAATTTGAGTTAGATAAGGGGAAGAAATCATGGGTGAACACAGGGTATGATGAAGGTGGCTTAGGTGTTTTCATAATACCCTCTGAATCTGTCCGTGTCCTCCACGTGTTCAAGACTGTCTAACACATCATCATCATCATCGGGCAGGGTGGGTGGGGAGACAATCTCAAAGTTGCTCTGGAACAAAAAGTCCTTCATAGAGTAATGGGACCCCAAAAGCACTGTAATCAGTCACTTACCACTGATTACTTTCTCAGAGCCTGGATTACTTTCAGATGCCCAAGGCCTGAGAGGTGTCCAGGGGAACTGGGGCAGTCCCAGGTGCTTCTGACATCACTAGGCACACACACACCAGGGACCTCGTGCCTAGAAAAGCACTTGGTGAGTTATTAAAGCCACTCTGCCCACTGAAAGTGGGTCCTGGTCTTTCTCAGGATTGCCCTCTTGTTTTTGGGAATGTCCGTGGCTCTGATGGGAGATAGTCCGGGGTCCCTTGGAGTGACCCGTTCCACAGCGGGGGCACTGAGTAAAATGTATGTCTTTCTCAGGTGGGCTGGCTGCTAGGCCTTCTGACCCAGGTGACAGTTATGGCGTCCCTCCTGTGCTGCTCAGCGGGCAAGCAGTATTTAATCTTACAACAACTCTAGGATGTTGGGCATTAGCAGTACTAACTTTAGAGCAAAGTCTAAAATCTTGCTTCATGTGCTGTATGTAGTCTGCAGTGAAATTCACTCATGTAAAAGAACCACTCAGGTAATCGTGTTATCACTCTTATATAACATATGCACTATTTTTGCTCCCCAGTGAAGGCTTCCATTAAATCCATCAAACCTTCCCAGCATGTAATTCTGACTGGCAGTTGCTCTCGTCCTCTAGCATTTTCTTTGCTAAAAGCTGGAGTTTGATGATGGGGTCTTGGCACCCTGGGTCTCCATATACTTAGTGCATGTCTATTTCTGATTGGGAACAGGGATATAAGCCTTCACCTCATCTCCACCCCTCCCATCCTGAAGTCAGCCTAAGATGCAACTACACCCACCCTTCACCTCTCTCATGGACTGCAGCTGCCCTCCCCACTGGCTAAACCCTATGAAATGGCATGCTGCCTCCTCTTGTATACCCCAGCCCTTGGTGTCTAATTTGGAAAAGCCATGTAGAGGTGGATAGTGACATACCCATGCAGTTCTCCAGTGGGACATCGGTGCTTATCCGAATATCATCAATGGCAATCTCTCCTGAACGGCCTTTCCCTATCATTCCCTCAAACACAATCTAGAAGCCAGAAGAACAAGAGTCATTGTTAACTGAGCTTCCTGGCCCAAACAGTGCAAAGAGTTCTAATTTTCTGTTAACTGTAGTTTAAATTGTGTGTGTGTAGGTGTATGAGTATGTAAATGCATGTGTGCATCTGCCTGCACCTGGTACACATCTGTTGCCCACATGGCTACAGCACTTGAAATCTTAATTTAAAAAGAGTTAGTCCAAATCAAATGCATATTTGAGGGGATTAAAAAGAAAAAAAAAAAACCAACAAGGTGATGGATATCGTTGTCTGATAACTAGAATGTATTGATTAAAATGACCACAGTCAGGGTGTGTTTAAGGGAGGGTTGAAATTTCCCTAGCTATTTTTGAGGTTCCTTTCTCATAAATCTTTCAAATTCCCAATCCAGGCGTTTGAAAACTCAGAAGACATGAGCAGGTGGGGGTAACATGAGAAATACGGCACAAAGGTTTGGATCACCTTGGGAGTGACATTGCCTTCTGGCTCCATTATTACAGCTCCATGATCACTACAAGGAGGGAAATGATTTGTTCTTTCACCAATAGTTTACTGAGCACTTACTAGGTGTCAGGCACAAGGACAGTTACAGAAAGTAATAAGTTAAGACCCTCTGCCTACAGAAGTTCACCAGGTAGTAGGTGAGACTAAAATGCAAACAGGTACTTACAACCCAGTGTATTAAGGAGCCCCGGTGGTGCAGTGGTTAAGTGTTTGGCTGCTAACTGAAAGGTCAGCAGTTGGAACCCACCAACCCCTCCGTGTGAGAAACGACCTGGTGATCTGCTTGGGTAAAGATTACAGCCTTGGAAATCCTATGAGGGCAGTTCTCTGTTCTATAGGGTCACTATGAGTAGGAATCACCTGGATGGCAATGGGTTTTTTCATGTTTACAAGTGTGTAAGTGGGAACCCAGGTTGGGGTGGGAAGGATCTCAGGACACCCTACAACCTCAAGAGAGAGTGACTGCAGGCTCCACACAGAAGTCCGTCTGCTCTGTGGTCTCAAATCCCTCATTCTCTCCCTCCCCAGGTTCTCTCTGCAAACTAGCGCATGTCCTTTGGCAAGCTGAGCAAGCAGTTGGCTGCCTCACCAGCCATCTGTTGCTGCTTCTTGTCTGGGGAGGAGCAGGTTAATGCTTTGGCTGGTTCTCAGTCACCTCTTCCACAGCGTGGCTACTCCTACCCAAGTTTCAGCCACAGCTGTGCGCACCCATCTGTGCCTCAGTCTCTTGCTCTGTGGGACAGAGATAATAGAACCCAATTCGTGGTGCTGTGCAGAGGGAAGCCGTTTGTCTGGGAATCTCTTGGGTCTGCTGGCCACAGAGTGCAAACAGCATCCCACCCCCCTTTCCTGTGTTCACAGTCCCTGGGACAGGTCTGGGAGCTTGTTCCCATTTCCTTCTCGGATTCTAAGGAGGCTCTACAGGCCTCTTCCCTTGTGTGTGGAGGGTTTGTTTGTATTTATTTCCCTGGCTTCTGTGTGCCTTTGTCAGCCTACCTGATAGCAATCTAAAATAAAATGCAGAGAAGAAACATTTGTTGGAGAAGATTTCAGCAATATAAAAGGCAATAGGAGGAACAAAGAACCAAGTCTGGGTGTAGAGATAGGCACATTCTGAGTAACAAATAAGAGTGTCATTTAGTTGCCATGACAACGGGAGAAACACAATGAAAACAGCAGGGCTTAACCACGTTCCCTAATGATGAATGGGCACGGCCCTTTGAAATATTGAAACACAGATCACAACGATTCCCTTGCATCTTCACTCCCCGTCTCCCTTCACCACCCCACCTGATATTCCATGTCGTAGCTAGGCAAGATGATCCGCCCGTGTTTCCACTCGCTGCCCTGGTCCTCGCGGATGACCCACAGGAGCTTGCTCTCCTGGCTGGCTTCCCGTACCACCTGCAGCGTCACCCCGTGGCTGCCTGTGGCTTGATACTGGAACTCCATGCACACGGGGCTTCGGGGCAGGTGGACAGGTGGGCTGATGAGCCGTGCGTACTGGCCCTCCCTCCGGCCATCATTCTGCAGCCGCAGGAAATTCTTGTCATCTGGGGGAAACAAACCCAAACAGTGGTTCCTGGTAAATGCTTAGGAAAGACACCCCTTTACAGCTGTGGACCCTCCAGGGAAAGCTGGGACTGGACTTTGGGTGTTATGCCCTTGCTTTCCAGACCCTGTGTCCCTTTCTTGGTCCCTGGGTGGCACAAGCTGTTTGCACTCAGCCACTAACCTAAAGGTTGGTGATTTGAACCCACCCAGTGGTGCTGCAAAAGAAAGGCCTGGTGAGCTGTTTCCGTAATGATTACAGCTAAGAAAACTGTATGGAGCACAGTTCTACTCTGTAACATGTGGGGTTGCCATGAGTCAGAATCAATTTGATGGCAACAGGTTTGGTTTTTTCCAGTTCCTTTCTTAAGGCTCCTTCAGGACCTTGATTCAAATGCTGAGTCCTCTTGATGCCCCTTCTTGAGGTCTTTAAGTCAAATTGGTCCCTTCTGCCTACTTTTCCGTATTTCGTTCTTTGTACCTGTTTTTATAAATAGCACTTTGCTCAGTCTGGCTTATGTCTTAGCTGGTTGTGTACATGCTAGTCTTCCCCCACTAGATTCTCAGAGGACAGACCCACGTCTTATTCATCATTAGCTTCCTCAAAGGGCCAATGAAATCTAATGACCAGAATTATAAAGGAACGGTTTACAGGGGTGAGGTGGCTGCTAAATTGGAGGATGACTCTGGCCAGGTGGTTTATGCTTCAAGCCTTTGTCATCTTGGCTGGGCGCTGTCCAAATGGAAGACATTTAAAACCTTCTGTCTCCACCGGCGCTACTAAATGATGCCGAGGCTCTAGGAACTGTGACTGCAATTCAGAAAGTCCAATGTCAACTTCAAGCAGAACGGGGAATAGTGGCTGAGTGTGTGTGTGTGTGTGTGTGTGTGTGTGTGTGTGTGGTGGGGTGGGTATCCAGAGGGCCTGACAGCCCTTCGTTCCATATCCCACCTGGGAAGGTCTGAACTTGGTGGCCTTTCTCAGAGAGCCAGGCACACACAGCTTCACTGATAACAGGCGCTGTCATTATCATCAGCAAAGACTACATGTTTAGCAGAGAATATACACACTCTGGGAAGTCTAGGTTTCACCCGTTCAAATGTTTGGGGAATGGTCTTTTGGCTCAGTGGTTTCAAATACATCAAACGCTATGCAGAAGACTGAGTTTCCATTACTGCTAGCAGACCATGCCTTGCAGACATAGGTGCTGGGGCGTGCACCTACAAATCCAACTGATGCAGGAACTCCCGGGCCACTTATACAGAGGACAAGGAGGCATTTGAAGAGGAAAGCTCACTGCCTCTTTTTGGGGCTGAAACATAGGAGCAACTTAGTCTGAATGCTTCTGCAAGATGGTGAAGATATTTTCTACCAAATACCCAGTATGGATGTGGGGCACCTCAGACCCCTCAGGGTCAGCTGCATCATGTTAATCTGGGCATGTGCACAGAGCTCTCTTACTCCTCGGGAACTATGAACATCCTACTTGCTCTCCCTATCAGACCCTCCAAGGTTACTACTCCAGAAGCCATCCTCCCTGGGAGTCAAATTAGGCCAGATTAGGGTGCATATTTGGGATTCCAGTTTGTCTCCTTAACCATCCAGAACCATGTCTGTCCATGTACTCTGCAACATGTGACTTCTTCAAGGCCTAAATCAGTACAGATAACAAAAAAGGTAGTTGTCTATAGAAGAGCATAAGGAGCCCTGGTGGCACAACAGTTAAATGCTCAGCTGCTAACTGAAAGGTTGGCGGTTCAAAGCTACCATCCAGTGGCTCCGCAGGAGAAAGACCTGGCAGTCTGCTTCCGTAAAGATTACAGCCTAGAAAACCCTATGGGGCAGTTCTTCTCTGTCACGTGGGGTTGCTATGAGTCAAAAATCAACTTGACCGCACCCAACAACAATGATCTGCTAAAGGAGGAGACACTGACATTACAAACCAGACACTCAGAGATCTCCCAACCCTACTCCTCCCCTATCAGATGCTATTACTACTGCTGTTAATGATAATAATTATGACTCCTATTTGCATAATGCCTTATGGGTCACGAAGCACATTCATATGCATTATTTCATTTAATCCTTCCTATACGTTTGTGAGGAACCCCTGGTGGCAGAGTGGTTAAGAGCTATGGCTGCTAACCAAAAGGTTGGCAGTTTGAATCCACCAGCTGCTTCTTGGAAACCCTATGGGGCAGTTCTACTCTGTCTTATAGGGTTGCTGTGAGTTGGAATCAACTCCACGGCAACTGGTTTTGTTTTTGTATGTTCGTGAACAAGGTATTATTAATCTTACTTTGCATACGAAGAAACTGAGGCTCAGGAAGGTTAATATCACTTGTCCATGTTAGAGAGGCTAGTAAGCAGTAGAGCCGAGACGTGAATGAGGTTTCTAACCTTCCTGCTCTTTATTTCAGTTGTGCAGCAGGTACCTTGCCCCCACAGCTCTTGCAATCACACTCTATTCAAGGCAAACCGGCTTCCCCACTGGGCCCGTTGCCCCCTTTTATTCTCTTACCTGTAATTCCTCACTCCCACCACACCACCTATCCCACCTCTTTTGCTAGTTCTTCTCCCAGCCATTCTGGCACATGCAACATTAATTCCCTCTTCCCTCAACAACTCCAGCATTTACTGATTGTACCACTTGTTTTACCTTGTTTTTAAAAGGATTTGAGGCTATTTTCCATGGATTTCAGCAGGTTAACAACCCACTGCCTTCCACTATAATTTAACTGTTCCATGTGTGTCTTTCTTATCCTCCCAGTTAGATTGTCAGGTCCTGGTCTCACGCATATAAGGCTTAATACTTCTTCTCCCTCTTGCCCCTAGATAATTTCATATATGTGTGTGTGTATGTGTGTGTGTGTAGATGCATGCATATGCGTGTATGTGTGTGTGTGTATATAGACACATATACATATATATGTACATAAAGGAGTGGTGGTTCAGTGGTAGAGTTCTTGCCTTCCACGCAGGAGACCTGGGTTTTATTCCTGGCCAATGCACCTCTTATGCAGCCACCATCTGTCAGTGAAGGCTTGCATGTTGCTATGATGCTGAACAGGTTTTAGTGATGCTTCCAGACAAGATGGACTAGGAAGAAAGGCCAAAATCAGCCAGTGAAAACCTTATGGATCCTAACAGTCTGATTGGTAACTGATCATGGAGCTGTGCAGGATGGGGCAGTAGTTTTGTTTTGTTGTGCATGGGGTCACCACGCATTGGGGTCTGACTTGATGACAGCTAACTTATACACCCCATTGCCATCAACTCGATTCTGACTCACAGAGATCCAATAGGACAGAGGATAGAGTGGAACTGCCCAATAAGGTTTTCAAGACTGTAAACTTTATGGAAGCCGATTGCCACATCTTTCTCCCTCGGGGCAGCTGGTGGGTTCAAACTGCTGACCTTTAACTGCCTAGTACTTCACCACCATGTCACCGGGGCTCATATATATATATATGTTTTCCAAGAAAACTTTGTTCCTGTGAATAAATAGCAAGCAAATGGATAAAAGGAGCCCTGGTGGTGCAGTGATTAAGCGTTTGGCTGCTAACCAAAAGGGCAGCGGTTTGAATCTACCAGTTGCTCCTTGGAAACCCTATGGGGAAGTTCTACGCTGTCCTACAGGGTTGCTATGAGTTGGAATCGACTCAACGGCAATGGGTGTTTTTGGTTTTTAAATGGCTAATGAATGACAGGAAGTAAGGACAGAGGGAGAATCAGCTAGCCTCTGGTAATCCTTCAGATTCATACAATCCCTTCTCAATTCCCTCCTACCCTCCTGAGCCAACACCCATTTTCAAAGGTGAATAAATAATAACAGGGTGACCTGGGCAAGCATCCAGTCCACTGAGCCACCAGCAAGAACCCCCAAATGCTCCCGTGCTCCTGGTAATTTCCAAGTCTTTCCTTTTTCCACCTCATATATAAAGGAAACCAAATTTCAGAGACTTATTACTCAGTCTTCTTCCTTCACAGTTTCACAAGTAAGACCTGTGTACTTGCTGACTGAAAATTGCTTGGCAGAAGTACTGTCACTTTTGTGAGTTTATATTCGTAAGCAGCAGGGGAATCATAGCATAATGGTTAGAATTTAGTAAGTAAAACGTGTGTGGAAGTGTGAAGAACCGGGCTGACTGGGTTTTATCTGGTTCTGTTCTATTTATGCATCCTGTTACTAAAACTTAAGTCACATTTAGGCGAAAGGTTTCATGGACTGCCTCTCCCAGGAACCCTAGACATCCCCTCTCCTCTCCTCACATTTCCTCTCATCTTTTCTCTCTCTCTTACAATAAGATGATAATTGCTATGCATGATTTAAAGGACTGTTGGAAGACCAGGGAGTTAATGCTAGTAGCGTGCTACGCACGAGCAGCTGAAGGATCATAATTCAGTGCTGACATCTGAGCTAATCCACTAGTTTGCAGAATCTCAAGACAAGCAGACCTCTGAATTTCACTTAGTTAAATCATTTGTGCCCCACTTGTCTGTTAAGTGCTATGAGCTCCAGGGAAGAAAGATGATATGTAAATTTAAGGAATTAGCAGTAGACATCAGTCAGAGGGACGCTGAGCTGCAAAACATCCCTGCTTGTCACTGAGAGAGGGCTGATTAGATCCAGGGACACCATGAAGGAATGGTTCAGACCAGGAAAGGCCCAGGGAAGGGGTGGAGGGGAGAAGCACGGGGAAGAAAACTGATGTTAACTGAGCACCTACTATTGCCAGGTATTATACTACAGGATCCTACTGGATGCTTCACCTACCTTATCTTATGTAATTTTCCCAATAGCCCAGTGAAAAAAGTATTATTTTATCCATTTTTACTAGTAAAGCAAGTGAGGTTCAGAGAATTGAAGTAATGGGTCTAAGACTATTGCTAGAGAGTGATGGAAATAAGACATGAGCCCTGATTGGACTGAGTATAATCACCAGAGCATGGGCTCTCACCTGTGTTAGCATCCTGGCCTAATGCTCACTAACCTTTTAA